GGTCTCACGAAAACAGGTTGGTCTCACATGATCCCAAGTCTCTCTCTCTCTATATATATATATAATCAAACTTTATGTATAATTAGCACTAGAATCAATATAGTACATGTATTTTATTTTACATAATTTTACTAAGACCTTTTCTTTTAGGATTTTTTTTATAAAGAAACCAAACTATGAACTGTCTAAAACAAATCTAAAAAACTCAAACAAGTCTGATATGTGTTGAGAATTCAACATATAATGCACTCATTTTACGCCTTATTAGTTAAAATTAGTTTCCTTTCATTCCCACTTTGAGTCATTTTGATTAATTTATTTATACATTTATTATTATGGAGCTAAAATATTGGGGTTAATTTGTTGGGACTCAAAGATACAAGCTAATGGAGAAATTTTTGTTAAACAGTCTGATGCTACAACATTACAGCAGCAGCCACCTGATACGTGCTTGGCTTTACGAGGAGCTTAACGATTAAGCCGTTGCCTTTTAGATGCTTACTGGAAGACAGCTGGAAAACAGCTGGAAAACAGCTGGAAGATTTTTTAATCAGGGATTTTTGAATTAATATGTCATCTTGTACTTAAGATTCTCTTTGCTTATCTTTTGGACATTAACTAGTGGTTATTACCTTTGTTTTTTGGTGCAAGACCTTGTATATAAATAGGGGGTTTAGCCTCATGTTTCCACACACCTTCTAACATATTTTCAATATCAAAATCAGCGGTTAGGGCTGATTTTGAGAGAATCTTTTGAGAAATTTCAAGTTCTTGAGTTTTAAAGCTTTCATCATTTAAATTATTGTCTTTAATTTCTTGTTCTTTATTTTATGTTCTTTTACGTTTATTGTTATTTACTTTCCGTTATTTAATTTTCGCAATTTACATTCTCGTCATTTACATTCCCGTCATTTATTTTCTCGTCATTTACATTTCTGTCATTTACTTTCTCGTTATTTACTTTACGCAATTTACATTTATGTATTTAATTTCCGTCATTTATTTTTCTTGTGATTTACTTTCCGTTATGAGTAGCTAAACTTTTATAGCTTGGGTGTGAGACGGAAATGTGAGATTTTCAAACCAAACAAAAATAGCTAAGTGTTTTCGTAAACGACGTTCCATTGTTTCATTCGAGTTTTTATAAAATTCAAGCATACTTCTTGACAGGTTGATCACTTCGAAAGTGTTAAAGTGCGATGGACTTAGAGATAATCCATTAATAAGCATGTCAACTTGAATGACATAAGAGGTAGACTTGAGAAAGTTGCCGACAAGGAGACTTGTCATTTATGTTTTTCAAAACTTAACTCACAACGAGTTGGTCACTCTTCAAAAGTGTCAAAGTGTGATAGATTCAGAGATGAACTATCAAGAACACGCCAACTCGAATGATATGGGAATCAACTCGAGAGAGTGATTTTTAACAAAGAGATTTGTTTATCCATATATTTTAAAAACATCATCGTGTCACTATCCCTGGTTCGGACACTACATAGAGATATGGGTGGAAAGCTATAATATAGTGCAATGGTGAAGTCCGAGAGGAATGCCTTCAAAATAGATGGTGGAACTTAGTTTCGAAACACTGCTTGCTATAGCATTTCTATAGCATTGGCTGCTAGAATTTGTGTTTGGGTCTCACCTTAAGTCTCACACCCTTCCTTCTTTTAGATATTATGTATTTTGTTTTAATTTACCTTAATATCAAACAAAAGTCTTCAAAATCGTCATCTGAAATCATCTCTTTCATTAGACTCTAATCTAACTTTGGCTACAATCTCCATGGACGATATTCCGGTACTTGTACCACTTTATTACTTGGAAAGACGACATTGGACCGTATTGTATACTTGCTTTGTGGCCCAATTCCTTTGTCTAACGGTGTGAGATACACCCGACCAAAGTCAAATGAAAAAAATAACAAATCAATCAGACCTATGTATCTGGAATGGTCATAATGTTATTGTTCCACTTTGTGCAATTGCATGTAGGAAAATAAGGGTTTTAAGGAGGTTGTTGGTCAATGATGTAAATGAGTATATTATGACTAATATGAGCAAATTACAAAAATATTCAACAATTATATCAAAGTAGGTAATGACACAATGTTTGCTTGATGAATATAAATATTTTATGACAATATATGTAGGAGATAAATTGATATGTACAAAACAATTCTCATAATACA